GCTCTTATTACAGTGGATAAATATTTTAAAGTTTAGGAATTAAATATTTTATTTTTTCGGTATGCTCTCTGCAACTATTATGGACTTTTCACAGCTTCTTCATTCATGGGAAATCTGTAGGGTTTCCTGTTTTAAATGTAAGGCTGTTATTTGTTTCCCCAAACAGAAACAGATCAGAGTTAACAAACACATTCAATAAATCACTTCTTACCTGATGTTAATAAGAACACCATGCTTTTCTACATAAAGAGACTTTTGCACAAGGCATGTATCTTTTATTATAATAAAAGTGTGCTAACAAAAAAATGAATCAATTACATCTTTAAGTATACGATTACTCTCTTCATTTGTATAGCAGCAGATTTGTTTTTGGTTTTGTTTTGTTTTGTTTTTTTGGCATCCATCTCCTTACTTGACACAGGTATTTCTCACACTAAATTAAGACAACCTATCCTGAGAAAAGCATGTCCTGAACTGTTTGGTTGAAATTTTCCCCAAAATCCAAGAGGCTGTTTATACATTTGCCTTCAAAGACGTAGACTAATTATGTCAACTGATTTATAAATAGGTGAAGTTCTTTGTCCAATTATTAAAAGTACAAAGAGATAAGGGAGCAATTTAAATGTCTAATGCACCTCAAAACCTTTTTTTTCCCCAAAGGCAATTATAATTGCAAGCAAAGTTACTCTAGATAGGCCCCTTAGGTTTCATGTGGGTTTAAAGAAAATCATAACAATAACATTACCTCATTGGCCAGGTCCAGGAGCACTGGGGCAGCTCTATTTTTTACCACTCCATTCAGGTACCTAGACAAGACAAAGCCAAGTGGTAATGCAGTGACAAGAAAAGGCCAGCACAGACTTGCCAGCATCCCCTGTGTGTATATACGTTGCTCCTGGGCAAATGCCATGCTCAACTCTAGTTTCAAGGCTTTTAAATCTAGTTTCAACTCTAGTTTTCCTATGATGGTAAGCTACTGTCATAGGAAAGCACTGAAGAGAAAAACAACCAAAACAACTCATCTTAAAACCACTGGAAGCTAAGAAGCTGAAGATGGGGGCAGGAGATGTAAATACTTAGGTCTCCCTTGTTTTCTTTCGCCTCCCAACATATAAAGTAAATAAGAGGGACTATCCATATCACGCTGCCTTATCTCTACCACAGACAACCATTGCACAGAAAGGACAGAAGTTGACTTCTATAGTTTGAGAAAAGCATTCAAGCACCCATCTTGCCTTTTCCTTTACCTCTGTTTCATAGGGCTGCTTGCCAACTTATTAAGAAAACAATGGAACAGATATGTCATCAGCGGGTCAGCACACCTGTGACAGGCAATATAAGCCATCACCTTACCTGCCCTGGATTTCTGTTAGAATCTCCCTCTCATTATCCTCTCACTCCACATGGAAAAAAAGCTACAAAACTCCCGCAAAATACCCAAGCAAAACAAAACCCCTAACGTGGGAGCTAGGGTGATTAAAAGAAAATAAAACAGAAATTTGAATGTGTCATTTTCCTCCTTAAAACACTTCACGGCCCCACATTAAATCTCAAGATTAAATTATAACCATTTAACAGCTCTTTCAAGGGTCTTCATAATCTGCTTCCTACCTACTCTACTCTGCCAGTCTCATCTCTCATCACAGTCTCCCACTCCTACCCCTCACCTGGATAACTCACAATTCAATTCAGATGTCACCTTCTTCAAGCCACTACCATATAAGACTAAGTTAAGTACTCCTCATATGTAATCGAGGAATACCTTGCACATCTTTCTATCATGTAATGTAGCATATTGTATATGCCTATCATTTGGCTACCTCAGACCTATCCCTCCCTGTAATGTTGAAAGCCTCATGAAGGTTGGAGAATTGTATTTTATTCCATTTATTATACCTAGCATGTACTTCATTTATAGTCGGTAATCACCTACTGTATATATAATAGTATATAATAAAAAATACGCCTTTCTTTTTGCCTTTAATAAATGAACAATTAAATAATTTTTTAAAAACCATACTGGACAAGAAAGTAGAATAAGGTACGGACATTTTCCCTATAGTATATTAGAGTGAATAAGTTCTGGATATTTGTCTGAGAGTAAAAAACAAAGTCAACAGGTGAGGTCTTTCATATAACTGCCAGGAGCAGGTACTCAATTATATTATTTTATGAGTATATTTATAAAGTTGTATAACTTTCCTGTAAGCAATGTGGTGTAACAGCAAATTATTTAAGGTGGGGAGAGCCTCTGATCATTATAACTTCAAAATAAGTCTAACAAAGCCATTTTCCATATACTGGGGCTAGCCTTGAATATATTATTTGGGAAACTAATTGGGAAATAAGGACTTTCAGAAGCAAGAAGAAAAAGAAAAAGACAACAAGGCAGGTGTGTTTTAGAGAAAGGTCCCTGGGAAACAGGTCTGTTAAGAACCTCACATCAATTTTCATGAACAAGTCCACTGCACTGATACCACTCAAGGAACCAATCTATTCAGTCAAGTCATACCAGCTAATTATGTGTTTGTAACCACCAGAAGTGCATATTACTAAGGGTTCTGATTTTGGGTCAGCGTATTTAAGGCTACACCGATACTGGGATATCTTTACAGCTTTCTACTTTAGTTTCAGTTACCCAACAAATATTTTGGAACACTGTGTGTCAGGTCTCAGTACAGGTTCTAAAGAACCACCAGGGAAGAAAAAAAAAAAAAAACATTCATGGGCCCACCATCACAGAGATTATATTACAGTGGTGACACAAACAATAAAAAGACAGGGAGATAAATATACAGAATAATAGTATATGCTAGAATAAAATGTGAACCTAGATGAGACGCTCAGGAAGCCCCTCTCTGAGGAGGCGACACTTGCGTAGAAACCAGCATGAAAAGGATGGGCATGCCATGGTAAGAGCTGACTGTAAATAGTTAAAGAGAGTAGCTAGATGCCCAACTACCTCTTATACCAGACAGCTGTTGCTTTAAGTCAAAAATGACATGGCTTCATGTAAAAGTTGCATCAATCATTATCCTGCTAATGACCAATGAAGCACTTCTATTAAGTTTAAAGAAACAGAAGGTGGGTAAAAAATAACCCTCTGTATCTATACATTCTATGTAATATTAAAAGCATAATCATATTTAATACTGTAGAAATTCCTAATTATGAGGTTGGTAAAGCTTCCCAGTTGGTCATATAAAGAAACCAAACTCCAGGGCACTAATAAAACCCATCTGGGCTCTCTCAGCTGGTAAATAATAAAGCTATGGAACCCTGAAAAAGAACCCTGATCCCTCAAGGCCTAGCGAGGTGCCGCATATGTTGAACATGGTGAATCTGCTCAGAATGTATTTGTTTTCCAATCTGTTTCCCAACTACATCCTATAACACTTCGTAAGTGCTAGGAAAAAAATTAAGTTTAATTTGAGGTTATATTTGTCTTTTCTGGAAACTTTAATTATTCCCCACATCTAAGTGACAGATCAGGATTTAAATGTTCAGAAACGCAATCAAAGGAACATACTAACTACAGAAAATATTCCATAAAGACATAATTAGAAAATCCTAATACTACCTTTCTCTGCATCCTCATAGTATCTTGTGCAAACTTACAGCATTGTACTTTTCACACTGGTATAATATAGTTTGCTCCTGTTTCCAGCTAGCCTGAACGTTCTTTGGGGTAGGGCTACACAAATGAATGCTGAATCTTCATCCAACCTTGGCAAAGATCTGAATTGCAACTGGGATATAAGGATGTCACTCTCAACACTACATTAAGGTTACCTGGGCTCCATTCCTAACACCCAGGAGAATTCATGTGTCTCTGCATTACTAGCATTGAGTTGATATCAATTAAGAATTCAAAGTCTGTATCTTTTTTCTTGTTGAGACACAGTCTTGCTCTGTCGCCCAGGCTGGAGTACGGCAGCATGATCTCAGCTCACTGCAACCTCCACCTCCAAGGTTCAAGTGATTCTGCCTCAGCCACCCAAGTAGCTAGGATTACAGGTGTGTGCCACCACACCTGGCTAGTTTTTGTGCTTTAAGTAGAGACAGGGTTTCACCATGTTGGCCAGGCTGGTCTTGAACTCCTGACATCAGGGGATCTGCTTGCTTCGGCCTCCCATCAAAGTCTGTATTTTATGTGATTTCATCACTGTTAACAGAAACTTCATAACATCCAGATAGTAGAAAATGTTTTCTGGCTGGGCATGGTGGCTCACACCTGTAATCCCAGCACTTTGGGAGGCCAAGGCAGGTGGATCACTTGAGGCCAGGAGCTTGAGATCAGCCTGCACAACATTGCAAAACCTTGTCTCTACTAAAAGCACAAAATTAGATCAGCATGGTGGCGTGTGCCTGTAATCCCAAATACTCGGCAGGCTGAGGCACAAGAATTGCTTGAACCCAGGAGGTGGAGACTGCAGTGAGCAGAGACTGTACCAGTGCACTGCAGCCTGAGGGACAGAGCAAGGCCCTGTCTCAAAAAAATATATAAGCATTAAAAAATTTCAAAAAAAAGTTTTCTTAAGCTTCTGAATTATTGAAGAAATTTCCTCATTTCTCCATGTTTTATACAACATGGCTCAAGAGTTTATTTTGAAAACAATCTCCATTCTTTCACACTGTACTAATGCCATCTTATTTCTAAACAGGAAACATTCTTGGTGAAATTTGTTTCGGTTCACCTAAATTGGTGCCCAAGAGCCTATGTGCACATGCACACAGCTGGTCAGATCTGCAAGTCCCCATCAATAGTAAGGTTTAGAAATACTGTCTCCATTTCCTCCCTTCTTCCAGCACACGGGCCTAGGAGCCAGCTTTAGCAGCATTAGAAGATCAGATCAACAGAACATTATTCAGACGTTCACATGTAAAAAAAGGTTGGCTTAAACATGATATTGGTAATATATATGTCATAAAATAGTTTCTGAAATTTTGGACTGCTTTTTTGTTCAATTAACACCACCTATTTTACACTCATTATGCCCCATTTACAATGCTAGAAACCAACAATACAAATGTAACACACGGTACCTGCCTTCAACTGTTCTTTTTAGTGGGAAAAGAGCATGTATGGAAGTACGTAAAATGCAGCAAGAGAAGGGCTAACTCTATAGCCCTTCTGGTATGTCTATACAGAGTGCTGTGGGAGTTCCAAGAATTATCGATCAGGGGTATCTGGGGCAACCTGTTTATATAGTAGTCTAGAAATAAACTTACCACCTTTACTAGTTTGTAGGGAAGTGGAAGGTGTTCCAAGCTGAGAGAAAACACTCAGTGACAGGGCTGTGGATTTTCTTAGGCCACAGCATGGAGAACTTTGCCTTATATCTGAAATGAGTACCTATTAGTTTCATCTTAGATATGAATGAGTCGTTCACACTCAAAAAACATCATAAAATGAGCCTTCTCTGAGGATCTTTTAAGGATGATTTCACCCATATGATGTCTATTTGTTAGTCCTCCTGTAGCAAAGCTAGAGGATGATATAGCTTCTGTATAAGGTGGTTTTAATTGGCAAACAGGCGTCAGGAATGGAGCCCAGGTCACCTTAATATAGCATTAAGGATGACATCCTTATATCCCAATTGCAATTCAGATCTTTGCCAGAGTTGGACAAGGGTTCAGTGTTCATTTGTTTTTGTGTAGCCCTACCCCAAAGAGTTTTCAGGCTAGCTGGACACAAAAGCAAACCATTATACCGGTGTGAAAAGTGCAGTGCTGGAAGTTTGCACAAGATACTATGAGGATGCAGAGAAACATAGCATTAGGATTTTCTATCTTTATGGAATACTTTTTGTAATTAGTATGTCCCTTTGATTGCATATCTGAAAATTTAAATAAAGCCTGATCTGTCACTTAGATGTGGGGGATAATTAAAGTTTCCAGAAAACACCAATACAACTTCAAATTAAATTTTTTTTCCTAGCACTTATGAAATGTTATAGGATATAGTTAGGAAACAGATTGGAAAACAAACACATTCAGAGCAGATCCACCCTGTTCAACAGATGCAACCAGTACATTTCTAGACAGTAATTTGAGAATATACAATACTTTTTTTAAATGTTCACATTGTTTACACTAATAATTACATATATAGAAATGTTAAGAAACTCATGCAAAAATGCAGACTCATGCATCAAGGTGTTTATCACAGTACTATTTACAATAATAGAACGTTGGAAATATATGTTCAACAAAGGAATAATTCAGTAAATTATGATTCTTTTGTATGATAAAATAAGGCAATCAAAAAATGTTTACAAAAAGCCTTTTACAAAATAATATTATATCATATACATTTTTCCAAGCATAAAACTCTGGATTCACAATTGCTTATATAATATGACCACATCAATATAAAAATGGGCTGACAAACGACAAAAATGAAAGAGGCCAGTAGGTATCTCTGAGTGACACAATTATGGGCAATCATTCATTCCTTTTTATTATCATTACAAATGTGCTTGCTTTTCACAATACTGAGTATTACTTTATAAAAGAAAAAAAACAAAATTGCCATTAACATTTTCAAAATGCTTAAATATGTTTTGATATAACAAATACAATTTGGCTTTATTCTAATCTGCTGGAAAACAAACAAAAACCTTTTAAGGCCAATTTACCTTAGCACAGACAGGAACATTTGACCTGCACATTTCAAACAAAAGGCTACTGAGGTCAATTCATCTGAAAGGTAACAACATGGTCTGTCCCCAAGCACAAAGTCAGAGAGCAGGTTGGTAAAGTAAGAAAGTGCTCAGACTGCTTTCTTCTGGCACTCTCCACTGCAGTCTAACTTCATGTTTTTGTTTCAAATGCTGTAATTCTTTGAAATAATTGAGACTGTCACATTTAAATAAATTTAAAGAAATGTATTTATGTATTCTCACTATTATCCACTCAACTATTCATCATTGGGTATCCTTAAAGGTATTTATGTCTGGGCCGGGCATGGTGGCTCAGGCCTGTAATCCCAGCACTTTGGGAGCCGAGGTGGGAGATCACTTGAGGTCAGAAGTTCAAGACTAGCTTGAGCAAGATAGCAAGACCCTGCCTCTATAAAAAAATTTTTTTTTAAAATTAGCTGGCCACAGTGGTGTGCACCTACAGTCCCAGCTACTCAGGAGACTGAGGCAGTAGGATTGCCTGAGGCCAGGAGTTTGAGGCTGCAGTGAGTTATGATCATTCCACTGCACCTCAGACTAGGTGACAGAGAGAGAGACTGTCTCAAAAAAAAAAAAAAATTATATATATATATAAAAATACATATATATTCATTTCTGACCTATACTACCCAGATAACCCAACAAAAGTATGTTCATACTTCAATAATTACATATACCTTTTAATGAAACTTAGATTTTAAATAGCAGCACCTAGTGATCCTAGACATCATCTATTAATAATTAAAACAACCTTCTTACAATGAGGCAAATGAGTATCAGAGGGCAGCCCCATGACCTGTTAATGGATCTCCAATTTTCTAGGAAAAGAGTACACTTTCCTTTAAAATGCTTTATTTTCTTTGTACACGTTACAAGGCTTTAAAATCTGGACATAAAATCATACTTTTATATGACAGCCTAGGACTATAACGTTTACAAAGAAGAATGTATTTTTTGGCATGTAAATAACCCTTCAGTGTTTCTTTGAAGAGTCTGGATACCAACACAGTTGCAGGCTTCATAGCACTTCATGGGCCATTCTTAATTTCATATGTATAATTTAGGTTATGACTTTAATTTGAATGTCAATTTCACCAACAAGGTTATGACTTTCAAATAAATCATCAGACTTCACAAGGTTTCGTTTAGAGAGGATCTCTCCTAGACACAAAAGTGTGTGTCTGTGTCTATGTGTATGTAATGAGTGCATGTATTTTTAACAGGTATTACTACCCCAAACAGAGCATATCTTTTAATACATATGGAAGAGTGAGTAATTTTTAAAAAAAATCTAACTTCTGTGACGTTTCTGTTCAATATCCCTTTCTTGATTCCAAATAAAATGACTTCACCAAAATATGACACCAATATTTTATCCACGTATTTATTCCATTCATAAAATTTTTACGCATAAAAATCATTCATCTAAAATCAGTGGTGTCACTCTCACCACAGAAAGGTTCCTCTGTCAATCTTAAGTATAATAATTTAAGAGCAGATTTCAAATAGCTTTCATTTCCAGTGTGCCCTTGAAATATTTAAGAAACCAACCAACAATTTCTAATGCAAACCATTACCATTTACTGTTATAAATTATTCAGCCATACTACAATGACAATAGAAATTTTAGAATTAGAAAAATCAGAGCCTTTTTAAAGATTCTGTTTATTTCAGAACAAGAAGTTGAAAACTATTTATAATAAATTAGGCTGAAATTAAAACATCTCCTGGACGCTATGCTGTTGATTTAATACCCAAGATTGACTTTTAAAAATAGAAAATCCCCTTTAAAATGTGAGAGTTACACACTATATTTCCATGTGCCTTTACTTGATATGTCCTTTATCCTTTCTAAAATGGATATCTTAATATCTATGATGTCAAAATACAATGGCATCCAAATTCAATTTTATTTTTTCAACTTGCTAATGTAACGAAAATTGGTTTGAGAACTTTCAAATACAAGTAGATGTATGTATATATGAGCATACGCATTTAGACAAAATATGCACTTACATGTTTCAAGTAGCCAACTGAGATTTCATAATATTTAACTACATCTCACAGTATGTGCGTGCGTGCGCGTCCGCGCGCGCGCGCGCACACACACACACAGAGTCAAGACAGCCTTACCATATTCTTTAGATCTACAAAACAAAGCATTTGAAAATTCATTCAAAAATATACTAAAACTTCTGAATAAAAGACTTAAAACAGAATGTCTTGAGATATGATATAGAAAATTAATAACCTAACTTATTCACAATTATTATTACAATTAATAGGTACTATGATACCCTCTAGTGGGGCAGGAAGGTCATACCTCTGGTAATAACTTTCAATTGCTTCTGAAGTATGATGTTTGGCATGCGTTCTTTTAATGTGTTTCTGAAAAAAAAAAAAAATCTTTGTTATGTCACAGATGAGGTTCAAAACAAGAATGACGTATTTCTTGATCCCAATGACTAGCACCTAGGGAACACTGAATAATAGCTTGGGGATTTTGGTAATGGCAGGACTTCTTTTCCTTCTCCTCTATGAACCTATGCATTTTAATCTCTATTGCTTGGCTGGATGTCTTCAGACTGTACCACAAGGTACAGTATATATGTAAAAGCCAACAGGGTCATAGTAATTGAATGTAAATAAGTTTGCTTAGGGCTGCAGAGGGCAAAGAAAAACTTGTTCCCTCTTTCAACCTTTGTATTAATTTTCCCTCGATTCAATTCCATCTAAGTCCTCTGCACTCTAGTTTTATAATCCAATTGCCATTTTTAACCAGGAAGAACATTGCTTAAAAACAACTTATTTGAAAACTACAAAAAGTAATTCCATAGAGACTTGCCACTTGACTGACACCTGTCATCTCATGATAAATGACTCCATTTTCTGCCTCTCTTGCCTTCTGCCACTCCAGCAATGGTCATTTATCATCATCTCTGTCAGCAATGGAAAGCGGCACTGACAGTGCAAGTCAGCAAACATTTAGCACATGGAACCACGCAACACAGGGAAATTATTATTGTCAGAATAATAATGGTTTAGCATAATTTATTACAGGTCCACCAAATAAGCAAAGGCTAGATGTTATTAGACAGATGGATGGGTAGGCTTGGCAGGCCTCCACCGAGACGCAGGCGGTGCTTGATGTGGAAAGGAGCACATCCTCCAACCCAATCAGAGAGCTGGCAGTTCAATTACAAAGAAATAAAGGGACATTCATCATTCAATTAGGCACCTGTCAACCCTCACAAAGGAGAAAACTTCTAACCTGGTACTCCTGGGAGAAGATGCTCAGCAGAGTGGCCTGCGATTGACTGGAACAAATAAAAGAAGGACAAAGTTAATTACTGGAGTGCACGGCAAAGAAACAAAAGAGAAAGGAGCTTCAAAGGTAGGCCTGCTGCCCTGTAATCTAACAGAACATGAAAACAAGTGTGGAAAAGTTGTTCCAGATGAACACCTCAAACAAAGGCTTCCTGCTGCTAGGTCAAGGAGAGAGAAAAAGGGAAAGGAGAAAATATGGATGCTCTCAAAGCAACTCGCCCATTATTTGGATTTTTTTAAACTTTACAATGATTGTAAATCATATCTGTAGGATGCAATGGTATTAAAAGGGACAAGAAAGCAAGGCTTATTTTCATTAATAAGTGACACAGTTCAATCTCATAAACTGTAGACCACATGCACTTCTTTCACTGACAATGTTCTGAAATTAATTTTGTTAGCAGACAGGTATTCTCCTCTACAGCTATCCCAGTTTCAGAGGGAAAACTCTTGTCTTTACCAGAAGTAGCACAGTGACCACGGGAACATTCCCACTGATACTGGCATGCTATGAAAATAGAAGCTTTCACAGCAGGAAGCAGAGGTCCTTGGAGTGAATCGTTCCTAAGGACTGCCCTAAGCCTTATTCATCTAAGACAACACACAATGTCAAACACCTGGCAATGAAGAACCTGAAAAAACGTTCTTCCCAAGTGGGAATTTTCCTTTTGCAACTGTTAACATTTAGCAATGGCATGGAATTTTTCTTTCTCTAAAAAGCAATCAATACCCACTGCTACCCTTTGCCACTGTCCTCTATAGTCAGGTCTACCTTATCATATCTTGAAAACAATTATTTCTATTTTCCTACTAAATGCTATCTGAATAGATCACATTTTAAATAATTCGACTTTTATAGGATGCTAAAGCACTGTGAATACATTTTTTTTCTATTTATAAATGAAACAACTTCTTAAGCTCATCAAAGGTAATTTGCGGAGTGTGAAATAAAGTGACACCGTATTTGTTTACTCACTGTCTTAGTGTTGTCGTCTTCTGGATAACATTACAGCTTTGGCTTCTAACACTTTCTACCCTTACCAAATTACAAGACTAGGTTAAAAAAAAAATACCATTAATGTTCACCAAGGAAACTGATATATTATTAAAGGACGATTTCAATAACTCAAAAGTACAGAGAAATGATTAAATACAATTATAAATTCATTATAGTCTGATTTTTTCAATTTCCTTTTAAAATTGAAAAGCATCTTTGAAAGAACCAATTTTATGTAAGAATCTTCCTATTTTGCCTGGCTCAGGTGAGCTTAACATCCAAATCACATACCCTAGCAGGGTTGCTGAAACTAACCTTCTGGGAAAAAAAGAAAAGGACAAAATGAAGCCCATATCTTTGTAAACCACTTAATAAATTAATGTTAGATATTTATGTGCCATAAACAAACCCCCTCTTCAATGTACAGCAAAATATATTTATGTTATTAACCATTTAATGGTACACAAAATGTCATTATTTATGCTTCAAAACAGATGATAGAAATAAATATATTTGGAATGAGAAAGTCAGGGACCAATGGCTAATGAGAAGAAAACTAGACTGTAAATAAAATATACCATAATTGTAGATGCCCAGAATGGGAAGACTAAGAGGCAGTTGGAGATTTAAGTTCAAGAATAAATAGTTCGAAGTGAGAAGCTGGTCAGCAGTTGAGGGTACTGTATAAACCAAGGATAGGACAATGTCTTTAGCTAGAAAAATGTCTTCAGACTGCTTAGAACTCAATTCAGCTAAAACTATGGACACAGCCTGTGGAGGAACTCAGTTTTTCTACAGCTGAGAGGATTAGAGAGATTTTGCCAGCTTACACTGGGGGTAAAAACTGGCTACAACTATTAATAAAAAAAGAAAATGACTTACGTATACATGGTAACCAGACTCGGGTCCAAAATGCTTTGGTTTTGTTTGACTAATCCAAAGCTGTAGAGGATGAAGCGACCTTTGCTACGTAACCTGCCAGCCAACTATCTGTTTCTGTAAGTGCTAACGTTATAGAAGAGTGTTCTGATAAAATGTCACACCATAAGGAGCAGGGAAGTAGTTTTAGTACAACCAAGACATTGACTGATGTCTTGTGTATGATTTTTACTTTCTTCCAATGTGTTAATGCTGAGAAGGGACACTGGAGGGAAAGACTGCAGGTCGGGAGAAGAACTGAGTCCCATGATCTCAAGGCTATCGTTCTGAGGAATGTACCACCTCTACCCTGCCCCGCTGTACCCTCCCCCCGTGTTTGATCTGTTTTGGCCAAGGGGAACAGAAGTTACAGCATACATTCAACTTTACTATGTTCACAAGAAATACGGTTTCCACCTAAAGAGGAGAGGAGAAAGATTCTGTACAACTGAAAGATCTACACTGAACATCACAGTCCATCATCCAACAGTACCACTGTGTATCTACAATGCTGCAAGATAACATGTATGGGAAAATATGCCATCAGAATCAAAGAACTAAATAAGATGGACAGGGGTTGATTTAGAAGAGATTTACACATATACACACAAAAGTACACATATAAAAAAGGCAAAAATTACAACACTGTCAAGTACTCACATTTTTTAAATAGAATATCAAGTAAATCATACCCTGAATCTTTACATTTTATACCACTTAGCATATATGGGATTTTAAATTTACGTAATCAAAAATGCAGTCATTTACTTTGTACCAAACACTCAAGATGTAGTATTAAAACCCCATCAAAACAGTTTTGCTTATACTTTTCCCATGCTACTCTCCCAGATTTAGCTCCACACCCTGCAGCTATCTGGGTGAAGGAAAGCATGTGAGGGGACCCAAAGAATGGCTTTGTAAAACCCTGTCCAAGTCTGGAACTGCAGCAGCCATGCTGCAGCAATGTGGAAACAGCCCTCAAGAAAAAAACCAGCACTGTGAGGATGGCAGACAGAATATGGAAAGAGCTTGGGTCCTTGAGGACACTGTTGAACTGCTCAAGAGACCATGGAATTGAACTGACCAGTCTCCATTCTTACTCTGTGAAAGAATACATGTCTACTTTTTTTTAACCTCCAAACCAAAGAAATAAAACTCTTCCCAGGCTTCTGTGTTCTCTAGTAAGGTGGAGGCATGATGAAGGGCTCAGAGACAAGGTGCTCCATAATGGCGGCACATGTACAAGATGGAACACTTGAGAGGAGTTATCTATTTCCAAAATTTCTAGTTCTCCCTTTAGCTGACGGCTATATTTGGCTTCCCTAAAATTGTTCTTCTGTCTGTCACTGAGCTACTAAATTGACGTGCCTCAAGATCATAAACTGGTGTATGATTTTCCCATGTAGAGTTTAAACGTTAATGGGGTACTATTTGTTCTCATGTTCTACTGCATTCAACCTCCTTCAAATGCCTGATATAAACAGGCAACAAACTAGTTCCTCATGTGATATTTAACTCAATGTGCTCCCAAGGCCACCCAGCTAAGATACTCAATGATGTGAAAGAGCATCGGAGAGTTGGGAGAGCGTAGCATAGACTAAGAGGAGAGCTGAGCACAGTCTTAGTTGCCATCTAACAACCATGTAAGGGTGAGGTCCTTATGTTTTCACATGGAGACCTAATGCATGCAGAATCTTAGGAGAAGATACTGCACATTTTATGTTCCTCCTCTTCTTGAGTATGCAATCTCTGAAAAAGACCATAAGGAAGTAAATACCTTTACCTTAAAGCTCCTTTTCTATAGAATCTAGGAAGCTTAAACGTGTACACTCTACCAGGCTCACAATTCTCTGAGAAAAATAAAAAAATATATTATTTCTGGAGCTCAGGAAGAAGCAAACCAATTCAAGAGAGATAAAGCAGAATACTCCTACAATGCATTATACTTGCATATTTGGACATCTCACAGTTGCTTGGCATAACCTCTCTAAATCTGTGAAGAATACAATGGAACACTGGCTGTCTGCAGTTAATGATTCAGAGTGCTAGTCAAGACATATTTTCTATAAAAGCAATGCAGCTACAATCTCTTGACCACCCTCCCCCCCATAAACCTACATACAAATTTGAAATGTAGAGCCATTTTTTCCCTGAAATCAAAATAGAATGCAACAAGATAGCAAGACGTGATACAATACTACCACAAACTTTGCTTATTTTTCAGGAACACAATGTAAAGCAGAAAATAATGTGGAGGGAAATTACTGAGGGGAAAAAAGGCAAAAATCTGTAAACTAAATTCAAGACATAAAAATGTATCCATCTTGTATCTCACCCTTTATCTTTTCTTAATTTCCAACTTCATATCAAGAATGCAAACATTTTATGCCTAACCACAGCAAATATTCCCATAAACAATTATTAGGTAGATGGCAACATGAAGCTTAGTAGTAATCAACTATAAAAAAAAAAGTTCTTAAAAACTATAGGTCAAATATAGAGTTGAACATCAGTATCTGTTGGGGGGGATTGGTTTCCAAACCCTCATGGATATCAAAAGCTGTGGATGTTCAAGTCGCTTACATAAAATGGCAAAGTATTTGCATATAGCCCATGCACATTCTCCCGTATACTTTAAATCATCTCTTGATTACATATAATACCTAATACAATATAAATGCTGTGTGAACAGTTGTGAATACTGTTTTGGGTTTGTTGTTGTGGTTGTTTTGTTTTTTGTTAGTCTTTGAGACAGAGTCTTGCTCTGTCACCCAGGCTGGAGTGCCGTGGTGCGATCCTGGCTCACTGCAACCTCCATCTCCCGGGTTCAAGAGATTCTCCTGTCTTAGCCTCCAGAGTAGCTGGGATTACAGGCATGCGCCATCATGCCTGGCGTGCATACAAAATAGAAAATTTTTGTATTTTTAGTAGAGAAGGGTTTTCATTATGTTGGCCAGGCTGGTCTCTTAACTCCTGTTCTCAGGTGAACTGCCCACCTCGGCCTCCCAAAGGGCTGGGATTATAGGCGTGAGCCACCGCACTCAGCCTGGTTTTTTATTTGTATTATTTTTTGTT